GCCGCCCGGGGACAGCTCAGCACATGGCGGCTGTGGCCATGGCTGCTGTCCGGGATCCAGGCATGAGACACCCCGTCCTGAGACCCACCAGCTGCCAGGAGGCTGCTGGAGGTTTAAATAACCCAGGTCCAAGGTCACGCCCCTCCCAAATCCCATTCACCGTCCCATGAGGGTGGCGGGTGGGTCCAGGGCCTGCCCAGTCCCGGAGGCCTCCCCCTTGGTCTACTCACCCCGAAGGAAGCGGCCCCCGGAACCAGCAGGCCCGGGGACAGCTCAGCACATGGCGGCTGTGGCCATGGCGGCTGTCCGGGATCCAGGCATGAGACGCCCCGTCCTGAGACCCACCTAAAGGAAGTTTCTTGTAAGAGGCCCTCTGTTTGTAGATTAGCTGAATTGCCTTGATCCCTTTCACTGCCCTTTAACAAAAGAATAAAAAACAATTGAATCAGCACTAGGTGACGGTGACCGTAATTAATGCATGATTTGATTATAAAATTTAGCAAAGAATCTATGTTACATGCTTTTATAAAATCCTTTTACTTATGATCTTTTAATTCTGTATTCTTAATATTTTAATCAATATTAGTTTGTGTTTAGTAAAAGTTGATTTTGACTATAAGTAAACTAGTTGTCACTATGTAACTGCATGCGCTGCCAACCGTGGAGTTCCTGGCTTCAGCCAGGTGATTGCAGGTTTCAATGAGTAATGGTTTGTTAAGAATGTTTTCTTTGAAATAGAAAAATATTTTTTAGGATTGCTTCTTGCATTTTCATAACCATGATGTAATGAAAAATGAAAAATTGGATATTGTGAAAAAACTTGTGATGATTTATGTATAAATAAAGAAGGCAACTTTTCTGAGTTGTCCATTATGAGCATCAAGTCATAGTGGTCCGTGTCTTATCTCTTCCTATCATCTCGCCGATCCACACATCCTTTGCAAGCTCTCAGTCAGCTGGAGCTGGTCTCCAGCAAAGCCTAACAAGGACAACAACACAAAAAGATAGAGCAAAACACACCATGTGAAAAATGAGGATACAACTTGACAAGAAAAGATACAAAAGCAATGAAGTGATACATGTTTATTTTCTGATGCTAAGCCATAAACATGAAATCTGGGCAAGGCTGTTCCATGGAAGGTCACTCGTGTTCCCCCAGCTACAGGCCAAGCCAAGAATCAGTAGGGAAAACTGTAGGCAACAGGAGGTTTGCTGAGAACGCACTCCTGACTCATCTCAGCCTCTACAATGGACTCACCCTCCTCCCCTAGACGTCCTCTTGAGAGAACACAAAGCCAGGAACTATAACTGCAACTTGCTGTTGTCTATGGACAAAACCAACATGCGGCAAAGTACAAAGCTGGGGGATCACAAGAACGTGGAGCCAGAACCAACTTCCCCTCTCCCTTTAACTTGCAATGAGATGAGTCAAGAAATTTCTTCACCATGTAAGCGACTCTGAGCTGTTTTTACAATTAAATAAAAAACACCCTATGACCATTATATTACATCATAAATGTGGGGGCATGTTGGTGCAGTGATTAAGATGCTGCTTTGGATGCAACATTCCATACCACAGTGCCTGGTTTTTCTTTTTAAAGGGCTTATTTATTTATTTTGCATTTCATTTTAAATTATTAATTACATTGCATTATGTGATACAGTTTTATAGGCACTGGGATTCCCCCACCCTTCCCTAAACTCTCCCCCCATGGTGGATTCCTCCACCTTGTTGCATTACCACAGTTCAAGTTCAGTTGAGATTCTTTCATTGCAAGCATATACCAAGCATAGAGTCCAGCATCTTATTGTCCAGGTAAGTTCAACGGTTTCTTGGGGAGACCATTTCTGGTCTGAAGGTAGAGCCAGCAGAGTATCATCCCGATCAATTAAAAGCCACAACATAACATCAGCAACAATTTACAACGTTATGGAATTAATTGACATAGCATTGAGTAACCAATGTTAAAAGAAAAAAAAATGCAAGTTCTTAACTACAACCTATGACTTCTTCATTGACATTTCAATTTTAGTTTATATACAACCGGGTTCTATACACCTTAAAAAGGTTATGGATTATTATTCAGCTGTCTCATGTCTATTTTCATTATGGTATTTAGCATTTTATAGTATTGAAGTATAATTTTGCTGAACCTGGCTGTTTCTCGGGTAGTTTAGACTGGCTTATGACTCTAACAATACATATGTCAACAGTTTAGGTACAGAACTGTTTTAGGAGGGGTGTGCAGAGAAATCTTCAGTACCCTAGTGAGGAGTAACTAATCTTTGTGTCCCATCTAGTAAGGTATAAGTGAATCCACGCTGACTGTTTCCTGTCTGATTCTAAGCTTTCCTTGTTGCTCTCTATCTATTCTAGACTTTTGTTTGTTTGTCTGTTTTGAGGGCTTTCCAGAGTGATCCTGATGGTCATTGCCAGAGAGGGTGGGGGCCCAAAGTTGGAACCAAGTGAGAACCAGAGAAAGCTCCCCTCCCTATTCCCAAAGGAAGTTTACTGTTCTTCTGTTTCTGCAGACCACTCAGGGCTCCTGGCTGTCATTACGATGACCTTGGATCCTACAAGAAGAATTTGGACTTCTTCCATCCCATGTGAAGGGCTTATTTATTTTTTTATTGGAAAGGCAGATTTACAGAAAAGAGACAAAGATTTTCCATCCACTGGTTCACTCCTCAAGTGTCTGCAACGGCTGAGCTAAGTCAATCCAGCCAACAGCCAGGAGCTTTTTCCAGGTCTCCCATGTGGGTACAGGGTCCCAACACTTTGGGCCATCCTCCACTGTCTTCCTAGGCCACAAATAGGAAGCTGGAGGGGAAGAGGAGCAGCATGTATACCAACTGTCGCCTATATGGAATCCTGGCACTTGCAGGATGAGGATTTAACCACTGAGCCATGGCACCAGGCCCTAGTACCTAAGTTTGAGTCCAGCTTCCTGCTAATAGGCATCCTATTAGGCAGTAGGTGATGGCTCAGGTAACTGGGTCCCTGCCACCCAAATAAAAGATCTGGACTGAATTGCAGTCTGGCCCAGCCCCAAATGTTGCAGGCATTTAGGGAATGAACAAACTAATGGAAGATACCTCTTGACTTCCAAATAAACTTTAAAACATTTTTTCAAAGACTACAACTCTAAACACACACACACACACACACACACACCTTTAAAAAATAGAAAATGTGTGTGTAGGAGCTGGGATTATGGTGCAGTGAGTTAAGTCACCTCCTGTGACACCAACATCTCCCATCAGAGAATCAGTTCAAGTCCTGGCTACTCCACTTTTGATCCAGCTGCCTGCTCATGTGCCCAGGAAGGCAGTAGAAGATGGCCCAAGTGCTTGGCCCCTGCTACCCATGAGGGAGACCTGGATGCAGTTCCAACCTCCTGGCTTCAGGATCCTGGCCATTGTGATCATTTGCAGAATGAACCAGCAGATGAAAGATTCTCCCTCTCCACAAAGATAACTCTGAGGTAGAAGACAACTTCTTCAGTAAAAGGAAATATTTGAATAAATACTCCCAATACTGATCATTAACTACATAAAAATAAAATTCTGGACCACTAAAAAGCATATTTAGTCAAAGAACGTGGCATAGGCTTGAGACAACACATACCGCCAAGATGAACAGACTTCGGAGAAATTGACAGAAGTAAATAAGCAACCTGATGACAATGACAACTCAGGTTAAGCCAGTTTTATAAAGCCATAAAAACGTGTGGCTTTAACAAACTTACTTGCTTTTAACCAGCAATTACTTTTCTGGGAACAGATACTAAGAAAGTATACCCAAACAAAGAGTTTTATGCACAAAGATATTGTTCTCAACATTCACAGATTAAAACTAGGAAAATCCTGCCCTTGAATTCAGAATGCATGAGTCAAGCATGAGTCAAGAATGTTCTTGAGCCCTTCTGCTATCAGTACCGTGTTTGCCAGAAAAGCATCCTCCTTTTCTAAGCTACTTCAGTGTGCTATGAAACCTCTTTTGGATGCAGACCAGTCTATTTTCTTTTCTAATTAATTAATTTGAAACACAGATTACAGAGACGAATAGACAAGGAGTGAGGAAGGAAGAGAGAGCTATCCCACTTGCTGGTTCAGTCCCCGAATGGCTGCAATACCCAGCGCTTGGCCAGGCAGAAACCAGGAGCTAGGAGCTTCATCTGGGTCTTCCACGTGGGTGGCAGTGGACCAAATACTCAGGTCACCTTCTGCTGCTTTCCCAGGCCCACGAGCAGGGGGCCAGATTAGATGCAGAGCAGCCTGGATGTGAACTGACACCTGTATGGGATGGCAACACCTGACGGCAGCTTACAATTGCCATATATATATTATAATGCCGGCCTCCATAGTTCACCCTCTATTATGAATACACATGAGAGGTCTTCAGAAAGTTCATGGAAAATGTGCATTACAGGCCCAGCACCATGGCCTAGCGGCTAAAGTCCTCGTTTTAAACACGCCATTGGGAACCCATATGGGCGCAGGTTCTAATCCCGGCAGCTCCACTTCCCATCCAGTTCCCTGCTTGTGACCTGGGAAAGCAGTAGAGGATAAAAGGGAAGCCTTGGGATCCTGCACCTGCATGGGAAACCTGGAGGAAATTCCTGGCTCCTAGGAATTCCTGGCTTCGAATCAGCGCAGTACCAGCTGTTGTGGTCACTTAGGGAGTGAATCATCAGACTAAAGATCTTCCTCTCTGTCTCTTCTCCTCTCTGTATATCTGACTTTGTAATGAAAATAAAATAAATCTTAGAAAAAAAAAAAAGAAAAAAGAAAATGTGTATTACAAGTAACCTATGTAAGGAGTTCAGAATGTTTTACATCAAAGTAAACTTATCTTTAATTCCATTTCCCCACAACCTCTTCCAAGTACCATTGCACAGCAGTGTCTCCTGTCTCCGGGGAGCAAGCTGGAGGACCCCACTGCCTAGGCCCCAAGGAAACCGCAGACCCTGCAAAGCCACCAACAGCTGCATTCTTACCTGGGAGCAGGATCCCTCCAGTCCCCTCTTTTGTTGGCTTTCTTGGCTCTGGAGAACTCATTCACCCAAACGCTGCCAAACAAGCCAAAGCTGACTTGCAGCCATCTCTCAGCACATGCCGCGGGGCGACATGCCCCGGGACCCTCATCTCCACCCGGAATGGCAAGCTCTGTGCCATGGGAAGCCTCCTGTCCGCTGGGCACACCGGCCTGCCCTAGGACTGCAGCCTTCTCCTTCTGTAGAATCTCTCCTTTCCCGAGAGACTTTGGGGGTGCACCATCACCATGGAGCCCCAATTCTTCATCTGGATCAAATCTAAGGAATAATTTCTTTCCATGGACCTAGAAAGAAAATGAACATGGTGCTCAGATTTACTCAGAAGAGGACTGAAGAGGGCTCTGCCAATATTTATTTTACTATAAATTGTTTCCTTATCTCCTCCCAGAAGCTTGTCCCACAGCGAGGGCTAGGACCCTGTCTTTGGTTTTGCAGCCTGGTGAAGCACATGGCTTTCAATACAACTGGAATCAGTGGAACAATTAGATCATCAAAAATGCATATTGATGAACTAGCAGGGTCACCCTCCATGTCCAATAACTGTTGCCGATTTTTTTCATGGATTAGTGAAAATTATAAAGACAAACTGTCATTCCGGAAATGATCAGCACACAAAGAGACATCATCTAACGACAACACATTGTATAAGGTGGTACCTCTTTCCACACACCCACAGCACACTGGACTTGATAAAAATCACAAGAGAATTCATGATTCAAAATCAAAATCTTAGACACCAAAAAAATGAATGAATCAGACTATCACTGTTAAACACATAAGGCAAAAATTCACCTCATCACAAAGAACATAGTTTCAGTCAAAGAAAATGAAAATTGGAAGCACGTCAAAGAAGGTTACAGCTGACTTATGCTCTGTTTTCATATTGCCAGTTCCTCCTATGGGACACCAGCAGGCCTAGATGCCAGGATTCTGCACAACCTGAAGGTCAGGCAGTTTTTCAAAGACGTAAAGCATTTGCCACTTATACTGGAAATACCTGTGTGTGTGTGTGTGTGTGTGTGTGTGTGTGTGTGTGTGTGCGCACACGCGCGTGCGCCTAAGGTTTCCTCATTTATTTAAAAGGCAGATTTACAGAGAGGGGAGAAAAAATAGATATTGAGAGAGAGATTTGAGATTCTGGCCACTGGTTCACTTTTCAGATTTATGTTAGTGGTTATAGTCGGACAAGGTTGAAGCCAGGACCAGGAACTCAATCCAGCTCTTCTCAACATGACGCAGGGAGCCATATGGTAGCCAGCAGCTGCTGCCTCCCAGGGTGCATGTCAGCAGGAACTTGAATTAGAAGCAGAGCCAGGACTTGAAGCCAGGTACTCTGATAGGGTATGGGCATTCCAAGCAGTGTGCTAAACTGCCATGCTAACTGCCTGCCCCCTAGCAGCATTATTTTTCATGTCAAAAAGTGGAAACAACTGGGACATCTCTCAACTGGTGAATCGACATTACTTCTCACACAACGTCTATCTGTATAATGAAATTTAATTCAGCAATAAAAGGGGGGTGGGAAACTGCCATATGCTACAACACGGATGAACTAAGAGGCCATGAGCATGGAGGTCAGCTGACTGACTCCAAGCTGTCCCTTATTAGATACCTATACTGGGCCAAGTGCTTCCTTCTCTGAGCTGCACTCTCCAGAGGTATGAAAAAAAGCAGATGGTCTAACTCAGTTCCAGCTAAGACTTACTAGGGTGAGGATGGCAGAACAAAGGGCAGAGTAGAAGGAGAATTAGTATTATGTGCCAAGCATAAAGTGTACATACTATAACCATTTAACAAGTAGGGGGCTTACCCCCGTTTTTTAAAGAGTTATTTTTTAATTTTTTGGAGAATGTCAGACATACAGAGAGGAGAGTCAGAGAGGGAAGATCTTCCATCTGTTGATTCATTCCCCCAAGTGGCCACAAAGGCTGCAGCTGTGCTGATTCGAAACCAGGAGCTAGAAGACTCTTCCAGGTCTCCCATGCGGGTGCAGGGTCCCAAGACTTTGGGCTGGCCTCAACTGCTTTCCCAGGCCAGAAGGGAGCTGGATGGGAAACAGGGCTGCTGGGATTAGAATTGGTGCCCATATGGGATCCTAGCGTGTGCAAGGCAAGAACTTTAGCCACTAGTCTACTATGCCAGGCACATCCCCATTTTACCACTGAAGAAATTAGGGCTGAGGGATTGGGCAACTTGCTTGAGATTACACAGTCAAGAAAGAACAGAGGCTGTGTGAACAGCCCATTCCCCTAGGTGTCACGTGGTAGGGATGTAAGAATGAAGAGGACACAGCCCTTCCCTACATATCCACCTGCTCCATTCCACAGGCAGGCCAGTCAGCAGGAAGGCTGCGGAAAGAGGGGCTCAGGGTGTCCTGGAAACATAGAGGATCCTAAAGCAGGCAGAACAGGTTACGAAGAAGGGGAAATTGCCAAGCAGTATCCAAAAAACAAAAAATAAATTGGCCGTGGACACAGGTAGAGCTGGGAGGAAAGGGAGCCCTGCTCAAGCTGATCCAGCAGCAAGTTGAGAGTGTGAGCAACAAAAGCTACTAGAAGGGATGCTGGGGTCCAAGGGCAGGGCAAGAAGGTGGGAGAGCGAGGCAAAATGCAGCCCAGAGTACACTGGGAGCCCTGCTCACCGCAGACAGGGGTGAGCCGGACTCAGGGCCTGCAGCTTCCCTTACTGCCCGGTGATCCCAGCTAGAGGTACTTGTCAGGCATGGCTAATGAACCAGAGGCACTCTAGACTCTGAATCAGGGGCTCCACAATCCAAACTGAAAGATGAGGAGCAGGGGGGCAGTGTGGTGGCTCAGATTAATCCTCTGTTTGCAAGCACTAGCATCCCATAGCATCTATTTGTGTCCTGGCCGCTCCATTTCTCATCCAGCTCCCTGCTAGTGGCCTGGGAAAGCAGTGGAGGATGGCCCAAAGCCTTGGAACCCTGCACCTGTGTGGGAGACCTGGAGGATGTTCCTGGCTCCTGGTTTCAGACCAGCCCAGTTGCTATGATTGTGTCCTTCTGAGGAGTGAACCAGTGGATGGAAGATCTTTCTCTCTGTGTTGCTCCACTCTGTAAATCTGCCTTCCAATAAAAACAAATAAATTAAAGACAGACAGACAAGGAGATGTCTGGGGTTCCCAGCAGTGACAAGGCTGGGGCTTCTTAGGACAGATTCCAGGGAACTCACCTGGGTGTCCTGGAGCCACAGGGACTGAAGGTCGGGTGGGTGTAGCTTCTTGCTGCTGCCCCCGGTCTTGACCACCTGCTGGCCCACGAAGGGGGAGACCAAATGGTGAAACTTTCTCACAGATGGCCCTTCAGGCATGGCTGCAAGCAGAAACCGGCAAAGGAGACCACAGCTTAGCAGAGTTCTCTCCCGAGCACGGTCCAGCAACAAGTTCCCAACAGTCCTCTGATGCCACCAACTATGAAGCAGACAGGGCGCAGAAGGCAATGTGCTGGGCAGCGGTGTGGGTCAGCTCACAGACGTGGGCTTCCTCTTTGCCCTTCCCAACCCCACAAACACTCATCACACACCTAAAGCTTGCAAAGCACTCCATAACAAGCACCATCCATGTAGATCCCAGCAGTCAGCCCTTGGGACTTCCTGCTTGGACTGGGAACCCCTAAACTCATCTCCAGGCTTTCTCTGTCCACAACCTTCTTCTCTCCCACAGATGTGGATGGGGCTTTCCAGAATCTCCACCCCGCAATGGGTAGGTGAGCGACCATGCTCTGAGCACTGAGTGAGTGCAATCACCTAGACACAGCCAGCGCAGAGGGACGGGTAGCACCTGGCGTTAACTACAGACTGGATCCTTAATAATGAGGCACACATGGGCCCTGCGCGATAGCCTTGTGGCTGAAGTCTTTGCCTTGAATGCTCTGGGATCCTACATGGGTGCTGGTTCTAATTCCAATGGCCCTGCTTCCCACCCAGCTCCCTGCTTGTGGCCTGGGAAAGCAGTCAAGCACAGCCCCAGGCTGTGGGACCTTGCACTCACATGGGAGACCCAGAAACTCCTGGCTCCTGGCTATAAATCGGCTCAGCTCCAGCCGTTGCAGCTGCTTGGGGAGTGAACCATCAGATGCAAGATCTTCCTCTCTGTCTCTCCTCCTCTCTGTATATCTGCCTTTCTAATAAAAACAAATCTTTAAAAACTAAAAACAAAATGGGACACAGTTATGCAGTTGTGGTTCCCGTGGCCCCTGGCCCAAACCTCAGATTTACTGAGAGTCACGTACGCGAGGCTGCAGTAGCATCGCGACAAGAACGGTCTGCATGGCTCTTGGTGGTCTGCGTGGCTCTTGGCATATGGCCCCCACCCTGTCCTGGGCTGCTCTTGCCCAAGGAGCTCCTTAACCACCCTCTTTCCTCACCAGCACCATAACTCTCTGTGGCCAAGGGCAGACACTAAAAAAAAACCAAAAAAACAAAAAACCAGTGTTCCTGCCAGGTGCATCTCAGAAACGCATGCTCACAGCTTAGTCGGGGGCACAGAGTCACAGAATAAACAAGTTTCCACTAAGTCAGAATTTGAATAAGTTCTGGAAGGATCCTGGCTACTGCGCGGGCAGGACGCAGCCCACCTGGAAGGTTCTGGAGCTGCCTCCTCGGGACACCAGGACCTGCCTCTTTGAGGCCAGAGCGCTGCCCACCCGAGTGGGGGGACCCTCCCCGCGTGGGGGTTACTGCTGACGTCACACGGCTGGGCCCCTGCGGGAGCGTCAAAACCTCCCAAGGAAAATCTACAATATTTTCTGTGCGCAGCTCTCTTCAGAGGGACGGAGAGCAGCGGGCAGAGACGGGACTGAGGGCCACCGGCTACTTAGAACAAATAAATTCACCGCGGCCGGGGGCTGGGCGTCTGGGAACCCTTCTTAATTTTCCTGTTATTTAGTTTTCACTCCGAAGCAAGCCGTAGTGCGCCCGTCTGGTACAGGCGCCTGCAAAGCGGGGAGCTGCATCGCGCACACTCCGTAGGGGCTCGGGCCGGGAGTCGCGCGGCCCTGTCCACCGCCACTCCTCGGCAGGCCCCGAGTTCCAGCGAGGCTCCCGCCTGGCCAAGGGGAAGGGCGACTGCGCAAGGAACGAAGACTGCGGAACTCACCGGCTCCGCAGCGGCCGCCACAGGCCCGCCTTAGCTCCCGGGCAGCGCTCGCACTCGCCGTCTGCACGCCAGCCCAAGGCGCAGAGGGCGCATGGGGCGCACGGCGCGCACGGGCTGGGCGAGTCCCGGGCTCCTCCCCGGGCGTGGGCGGAGCTCTGCTCGGGGGTTGGGGCGGCGGGGCAGAAGGCGAGAGCCGAGAATATAGCGGTGAGAGCCCATCGGATTCGGGAACTGGGAGCTGGAGGCTGCAGGGGAGCACAACACCCAGTGAGGGAGCTGATCGGTGCGTTACTGCAGGGGAATGTTTCGTGGGGTGTAGAAAAAAGACAAAAAGCTGTCTTTTGGTTCTGCTCTTCCCCCAAGCCTAGTCCGGGCGAAAAGGCTCCAGGTTGTCAAGAAGTTCTCGTGCAGTTTTTAAAGGTTGACATTTTTTATTAAGTTTTCACTGTCAGTAAATTTTGTGTTAAATTTTTATTAAAAAAAAAAAAAACTTGTGGTGCAGCAAGCGAATCCTCCTTCTGAAGTGCAGGCATCCACTATGGATGCCAATTCAAATTCCAGTTCCCCTTCTTCCGATCCAGCTCCCTACTAATGACCTGGGAAAAGCAGAGGAAGATGGCCCCAAGTGTTTGGGTCCATGCCACCGACGTGGGAGATCCAGATGAAATTCGTGGCCCTTAGCATTGGGCCAGCCCAGCCCTGGCCATTGTAGCAGTCTGGAGGTAAACCAGTAAACGAAAGATCTCTCTGTTCCTTCCTCTCTGAAATTTTTCCTTTCAGAAAAAAAAAAAAATCCCCCCCAAGATAAAATAATAGATTATTCAAAGGTAGAATATGTCTTGTTGTTGTTGGTTCTCCATGGAGAATGACTGGCCAGTACTTTGAAGAAGTCAGCAGGAAAGTTTGGGGAAGTACCCAAGCAGGTGTTCAGGAAACAGCCAGCTGCAGGGCCCTGGGGAGGGCCTGACCAGCACCCGGAGCCAAGCCCAGCCATCCTCAGAGACCACCACGTCCTGCTGCCTGTCAGGGGGCTGTACAGCGGAGAGCACAGAGAGGAGTCTGGGTCCTCAGCCTGGAGAGAAACCCCAGGGGCAGAAGGCATGAGGCCTGAGGTCAAGGGGCATGTGGAGCAGGCCTCCCATTTTGCGTATTTGGCCTGTTCTGAAGGGTAACATCCCCTCCACAGGATGCCTCCTGTGGTAGGGTCAGACACCCCCAGAGGGTGGTTTCTGGAGTCCCTGCCTCTTTTGTGGCTTGTGGCTGCATTGGGAGGGAAACCATGGCCATAATCCTTGCCTCACAAGGTCATGCTCAGTCTCTTCAGGGGCCAAGGAGCTAGGCAGTTGACAGTCCAGAAGAATACACATCCTGGACCCATCATGTTAGTTATAGCTATTGTTCCTTGAGCAATACTATCTGCAAGACACTATTGTAAGGTCTTTAGATGTATTGCCTCATTGTGTCTGCCCTGCTGAGACACAGACAATCTGGTGCATCGATTAACATGTCACTTGGGATACCTGCATCCCTTATCAAAGTGTCTGGGTTCAGCTCCCACTCTGCTTCTGGTTCCAGCTTCCTGCTGATGCCTATCCTGGGAGGTAGCAGGTGATGGTTTAAATATATGCATTCCAGCCACTCACCCACTTAGGTAACCTAGACCGACTTCCAAGATGGCCTGGCCCATCCTGGAGTAAATCAGTGGATGGAAGATCTCTTTCTGTAACCTTCAAGAGTGACTTACCATGCATGGACCTCAAGGCCAGTGTATTGGCATAGCCAATTAAGGTGCCACCTGCAATGCTGGCTAGTTCAATTCTTTGCTGTTTCACTTAGGATCTAGTTTCCTGGTAATTGCCTCAAACAGAAGCAGAAGATGACTCAGGTGCTTTGGACTCTGCATCCATGTGGGAGACCTGGATGAAGTTTTTGCTCCCTTGCTGTGGTCTGGCCTAGTACCAGCTCTAGCGCTGTGCCAACTATTTGGGGAGTGATTTAGTGAATGGAAGATATCTCTCACTGTTTTTGCGTTTCTCTTTTAATTCTGCTTTTCAAATAAGTAAATAAATATTTTTAAATGCATGAATCCAATCCTACCTGTGTGCAAAATGTGACTGTGGGAATATATGTTTTATTCTGTGGCTATATAAATCTCCAAGTGATGTCTGGCATGCAATAGTACTCTAAAAATTTGAAGTGGCCTCAGATAGCTTGAGAACATGGTATGCAGGAGAGCACGGGCGCCCCCACATGGCTGTTGTGCTAACTGCCAGCGGTTTTTGCGTCATTCAGGACCTTCCTGGTAAAGGCAGGTGGTGAACACAGATGCTTTGCCCTGAATCTGTCCTGAGGTTTGACCAAATTTCCTCCACAGCATAATAAAAGAGTTCTGGCCACATGGTCCCTGAGACCCCCCCCCCTTAAAGATGCAGAAAAATGAGTCCTGCTTTTTATGTTATTCTTGGCTCCTTTTCTCACAGAGGATCTAGATACCCTAGATATATGGTGCACAAAATCTCAAGTGTTGTATGTATCTCCGGGGAAAGTAGGCAGAACTTTTGTACATTTGCACAGAGATCTGTGGCTCCCAAAAGTTAACACACACACATACACAGTCCCAAAATGCTGCAATGACTGCAAGCATTCTCTATGCAGGACCCTATAAGAAACTTTGGAGTTGTTCCACTTAATGACCTACAGCCCTCTTGTGCCTACCCAGCACAGGTGCATCATGAGACAATGCCAAGAGCATTGGGTAGGTTTGGGAAGACACACTAAACAGAAGCATGCGATGTTGCCCCTTTGGGGTTGCAGCTTAGGACTTAGGAACATTTCCCACAAAGCCGTGTTTGCTGGAATTCCTAAGAGCTCACAAACTGTTCTTCAACAGGTTCTCACACAGAAATCAAGTTAGAAATCTGTTATAACTGCAGCGATGGTGTTGGGGATGGGCAAGGGAGATACCCCACACCCATGGGGGCTGGCATTGTGCGGTTGCAGGTTAGGATGCCGCCTGTGTTGCTTGCATCCCATGTGGATATCAGTTTGAATTCTCCAGTTGCTCCCTGCTAACATACCTGGGAAAGCCATGGGAGATTGCTCACTTGCTCACTTGCTTGGGACTGTGTATTCATGTGGGCTACCTGGAAGAAGCTCCAGGATCCTGGTTTTGACCTAGCACAGCCCAGCCATTTGGGGAGTAAACCTGTGGATGAAAGATCTCTTTTTGTCTGCATCTCTCATTCTGTTAACTTTGCCTTTCAGATAAATCAACTTCAAAATAACACACACACACAGAAAATCAAGCCCACGATTTTCCAGGTGTTCACCAGAGTGAGCTAGCAATGAAGACTAACAGAAGAAATGACAAAACCAACAAGCAAAAGACCTGGACTTTGAAGAAAACAGGTCTGTTTTAATGTCCTCTTGGCTTTATTTTGTTCTTGTTTGTTTTGAGTCTTTTTACAAATACCACTGCTGCAGCTCTCTGGAGAACTGTTTAAGTCAGTGGAAGTCAGGACTTCTGAGGCAGCCCCACAGTCCTGGGGTTCCGAAGCCAGGGCCTCAGTAACAGCACAGCTGTGTTGGGTGGCAGGCCAAAGGTGGCCAGAGAAGGTGGTTTCCTGGAGAGACCACTTCTACAACTATACCTGGAAGCTCCGAGGCTGGTCTGTGGTTGTGGCATGACACACAGTTGTGTTCCAGCTTCAAGTACAGCAAGGATGCAGTATGAAGAGTAGTTTCCAATCCACAAACCAACTAGCTCAAAGCAACACATTCACCTACTCTAACAGCAACTTCCCCAGGGGCTGTATCCCACATACTCAGTGTTCAAGTTAGGAAGGCAAGTTCTGGGGTGCTGGGGTGGGAGTTCATCCACAAACCCTCCACCCCAGCAACCTTGGGATAGGGCAGATGGATATCAACCTAATTTGCATTTATTTCCAACCCACATCAAGCTTAACTCAGTCTGGTCCTGCAGATTACCCCTTTAAAGGTGACCACTAGTCAAGTACTGAAGAATAATTCTCTCCACTGCTACATGACTGCACCTGGCATTCAGTGACTTTGTCAAAGCTAAAGCCATGACTGTACGGGAACGGGAGAGATTGTACACACAGCCATGCACTCAACACAACTTCACTTGCTCCACTAGACCATCACTTATTCTTTTTATTTTAAAGAATCTATTAATTTTTTAAAAAATATTTATTTTTATTGCAAAGTCAGATATACAGAGAGGAGAAGAGACAGAGAGGAAGATCTTTAGTCTGATGATTCACTTCCCAAGTGACCACAATGGCTGGTGCTGTGCCAATCCGAAGTCAGGATCCAGGAACTTCTTCCAGGTCTCCCATCCTGGTGCAGAGTCCCAAGGCTTTCCTTTCATCCTCGACTGCTTTCCCAGGCCACAGGCAGGGAGCTGGATGGGAAGTAGGGCTGCCGGGATTAGAACCAGCACCCATATGGGTTCCCAACAGTGTGTTCAAGGTGAGTACTTTAGCAACTAGGCCATCATGCCGGGTCCACCATCACTTACTCTAAGGTGCCTGAGCAGCTACTCACATACCCAGTCTTCCCTCAGCCACTTCTCAACCATTTTCTATTATATCCCGTTTGGTGGCAACCTGATCTTCTCTGGATATGCTTGACTAACGGAAGCAACACCAAGTTTGGTGGGCATGGATGCCAAACAGCACAGTTTTGTGGGACGGACACGTGCTAAGAAGAGTTGAGTCCAGGCTGCTGATATTGCTATTACTTTGTTCTGAAAGTCATTACTAAGGGGAAGCGGTAAGATGGTTTCATCGGACAATCAAAGGGGACTCTTGCTCGCTCACTCCACATACAGTTAAATTAAAGCATCTGAGCAATTCTGTCTCCTAGGAAGGTGAAGACAAAAATGAACCACAGAGAGAAAGTTGCAGTCTCCTCTCTCCTGGGGTGCAGCAGCATCTGCCTCTGTTAGGGGACCAACCATAAAGGAAAAGTAACAAGGGCTGCTCAGGACTCCTCGCCAACACACAGCTTGAATTGGGTGGGCCTGGCAATGAATTCATTTATTCTCTGTTGAATGAATTCTCCAACCCCCTCCCTCCACCCTTTCTGCAGGGCAGCTCTAAAACTGCCCTAATTGTTCCTCAAGGAGCCTTAGTCAATGGTCAGGCCAACCTACTTCTAAAGCCCCAGGGTGACCTGCCCAGAGTCCCCTGTAGGTCACTGGCGGGGTTGGCAGAGTGTGCTTTTCCCCACGCTCCCACAGAGGAAGTCCTGGCCAGCTGCCAAAGGGGGACACGGTGGAAATGGACTTCTAAAGAAGCCCACCAATCGGTCTGTGGACAACAGCATTCGCCCCTGAGGGAGGAGAAAGCAAAGAGGAATACAGATAAATTTATTAGTTAAATACTGATTTTACAGCCATTTCACCTTAAGACAATGTTAACAGGTTTCATGGGGACAGGAAGGAACAAGAGGGTGGCCTTCAGGAAGAAAACAATGTAAATAATGATTAAAACAGATTCTTGGTTTAAAAGATCTTCTCTGCTACAGCCAGTAGGATTGGGGTGGGGTGGGTGGGGTAGGACGTAGGAACACCACAGTCTGCTTCAGCGCTGCCGACAACGGGAACAAGGACAGAGTAGTCTTTGCGGAAACCAGTGTGTGCAGAAGGCCAACTCCGGGACAGCACAGAGCTGTCCCACCTGGTCCCCAGCCACTTCTTTCCTCTGTCCTCTTCTTTCTTTCTGAGAGCTTTGCTTTGCTGTTTGTTGACTCTGAGTTTATGTTGCAAGATCTTTGCTCTTTGTCTCTGGGATACCCGGTTTCTGCCGGGGAAAGCTTTCAGGACCCAGGTGCTTGTGGATGCAGGCCACTGTCTGAGTCAGGGTCCCAGGAGAATCCCCTGTCCTCCGCGCAGGATGCTGTCCACCAGACACCATCTCCAAAAAGGTCTGAGATCTCACATGCATGTTTGCCAAACTGAAGCAGCAGAACCTCTTGTCCTGGCTCAGAACAGCTGTGTGAGCAACGGGGTGGATGGAGGACGCTGGGCGGGTGTGTGCTGTTTGGCTCAACTATCGAGCTCTGTTTTTGCAAAGGGAAGAGACCTGTACAGGCTGCAGGCAGAGCTGAATCACTCAGAGCAGGAGGGGTTTTATTTAAGAGGCCTTGGGAGTGAAGAAAAGGAGCGAAGGACGCAGCCCTCAGCAAGGCAAGGCACTCAGGAAAGGGGGTGCTGCCACACTGTGATTTGATGAAGCTGTGGCAGGTGGCAGGTGACACGGGCCTGCTCCATCGTCTCCCCAGGAAGCGCTCAGTAAGCACCCTGTGCTTTTGGAGTCAGATTTGTACGGGGACGGAGGGGAGGATGCAGAGATGTGCCAGGCCTCCAGGGGAGTGTTGGGCAAGGGCAGAGGGCTGCCTGGAGGGGCCTGCCACTTTCAAATCCAAGTCAGACAGGTGCCTTCATTCAGGTTGCACAGGGACTCCAGGCCCTGCCTCCTCTGGCTGCCCTCAGGGCTCTAGGGCTGGGAACACAGTGGAAAAACTACTACCACAGGTCATCACAATGAACAGGAGAGGAGAGAGACCCCTTGTCTCATGAGGGGTGGGGTGGGGTGGGGTGGGGTGGAAAACAGGCAAGCAGTCTCCAGCTCCATGGGAGAGACTTAGTGTGCTTGTGGTGGGGGGCAGTCCCAGCACCCCCACTCTCACTTTGAAAAGGCATCAGAGGAAATCCAGCACCTACATCCCCGAACCGAATCGTCGACTTCAAGTTTCTTCCCAGTTGTTCTTCTGGAGTCATTACCAGACACGGGGGCCAGCCCTGGGGAGTCCAGAGCCTTGCTCTCTGCTGGCCTCCAGGTCCCAGGTCCATGTGGGATTTTGAGGCGGGAAGGAGGGGGCGATTATGCAGTGATGATGTCCCCATGACTGTCAGCCAAGACCAGGCTGTTCCAAGAGTCCTGCTTGGAGCTGGCCTGTGGGGACTGGCTGACAGGAGATGCATAGCCCTGGGGGGACAGCTTCAGGGCCGAGAGGACCGGGTGGATGGAGGGCCCGTGGCCAGACATGGCGCTGACTGAGAACGTCTGAAAGGCAGAAGGCACATGGTAAGACAGGCAGAGTGGCTTCTACGGGGTCAGGAGGGGATTCCAACCCTGTGGGGCATGGCCAGGGGCCCAGGCAAGCCTCTCGCTGTGCCTAATCCCTGCCATCTGGAAGCTCATCAGCTGCGTCTGACACAAATAGGCCAGGGCTGTGCTGCTCAGAAGGCTCCCGGAGTTACATGAGCCGTGCCCTAAATCTCATCACCTCTGCCTTCCAGCAGCAGGTGTCCTCCCCACCCTGAAGGTTCCTTACATCCCTGGCTCCCAGACAATGAGGTGCCCCAGGGCTCATTAGGATGCAGCCTTTTGCATTAATTGCAGAGAAGATACAGGAATGGGGCCAGAAAAGGGAGTGCACGATGAAGCTTGGAGTATCCTAACACCCAAGGAGGCCAGGAGGCAGTGATGCCATTGTGTCACCCATAAGAGGGGCACAGCTCTGTCATTGCTGGATGTGATGAGGGCATCATGGAAATGGCATCCTGTGTTTCTTCCTTTCCCAGCCCACCCTCTGCATTTGCCCTGCCGTGCCCTAGCCGGGAGGATCCTCTTTCTCCTCCTTCACCTGTTAAAATCCTTTAAGGCCAAGGTTCAACAACCCTGTTCTAGAGAGATAACATTGTCTTGAGAAGTGCCCCTCTGCCCCCAACCCCCTCATCCCAACAAAAGCAGGTCGCAGGTGGGGGTGGTCTTCACACCCCACCCCCAGAGTGGGTGCCAGCCCCAGGACTCCCTTCCTGTCTCCACAAGCCAGGTACACAGGAGCTACCAAACACCTGTGTGCCACAGTTCTGTGTCTAGATCACCGAAACTTGGTGAGCTGTGCTGAAACCTAGCCATGAACCCCTGCCAACAGCCTTGGGAGGAGCCCCAAGGGCACCAGGTAGCTCAGAGGCCTGCCTAGGCAGTTCAGCAAGGGCAGCTTGCCACTGGCCACCTGGGACTCTGCAGTCAGTTTTCCCACACATAGTCCTGTCCTCACCCGTGAGCATACCTGGGACATGGAGCTGCTGTGGCCATAGTGAGAGGACAGCCCGGGCTCTGTCTTGATGGGACGCATCTCTTCACTGCTGCTGCTGCTGGTGGCATTGCTGGAGGTGCTGGAAGCGCTGCTGGTAGGAGGAAGGCTCTCATTGCCCGCAGGACCTGGAATAGAGCAGAGTGAGGACATTAGATCAGGGCAGGGACAGATGGAGGGTGGCCCTTTGTGACAACTTCTCTGTATTTACTGGGGAGTGAGGCAGGGGTCTATACCAGTGGAGCAACAGTTTTCAAAATGGGGCAGAGGTGGCAGAATTCCAAGGAGACTTTTTCAAACACTGTGCTCACTCCCTTCCCATCCAGATCCCAAACCCTTGAGGTCTTGTATTTCAGCATTCAATAGGAGCACAAATAGGAGTGAGAGCTTAGCCTACCTGGGGGGGCCGGTACTTGGCACAGTAGGTGGGGTCACCGCCTGCAATGTCAGTATCTCATGTGGGTACTGGTTCAAGTCCCAGTTACTCTGCTTCCGATCTAGCTCCCCGCTAATACACTTGGGAAAGCAGTGGAGGATGGCCTGAGTGCCTGGGCTCTTAAATCTACATAATAGCCCCAGTCAAAGTTCCTGGCTCATAGCTTCAAATTAGTCCATCCCCACCACTGCTGTCATGTGGGGAGTGAACCAGTGGATAGAAGAACTCTGTGTTTCTCTCCTATTCTGTGTTTCAAATAAATAAACACATCTCAAAAAATAAAAAAGCCTGTATCCTATGCCAGAATGTCTGGGTTCAAAATCCAGCTCCAGCTCCACTCCAGTTTTTGCTAATGCAGAGCTGGCATCAGTACTTGAGGGGTCAAGTAATTGGGTTCTTGTCACCTTGACTGAGTTCCTGGCTCCCTGCTTTGGGGCAGCTGAGACAGTTGTGGGCATCTGGGGAGTGAAAAGGCAGATGGGAGCATGCTCTCTCTCCCCCTCAAGCTCATGAGAAAAACCAAAGAGCAAATGCAAAATATTGTATGTTACAGGCTACTTCTAGCAGGGTACCCATAATTACATTCATTAATATTGCTACAGTAAGATGTAAGCATCTATAGTAACTGAGATAAACAGAGACTACAAAGAACTTTGTGTCTGTTCTGAATAGGTTGGCTCTCAAATCTAGCTTCCTGGAGTTGGGAAGGGGTCATTCACCCTCACTAATTGTGGCTCTATCTTTGGGTAAGGAAAGCAGGTTACTAAGGGGCCTTGCTGTGCTTGTAGGCAGCAAGACAGGTGGAAGTCCCCAGGCTTCAGACACTGGATGTTCTTGTTAGAAACAAACCTGCCAGAAGGAGCAAGCCCTAGGTGACCAAAAAGGCACGACCCTGGTCGTCATCTTGGTCGTAGCAGTGGGTCATGTACCTGACTTTGTCATGCCTTTGATTCAAAGATAAACGTCCTATAAGGTCAACAGATTGTCTGCAACAATGGCATTGATGAGTTGAATTTTGAATTTGGCAACAATACTGACTAGGGAATGCTCTTGGTAGGGTTGGTAGCCCTCATTCTTCTTCTTTAAAGGTTTATTTATTTTTATTGGAAAGGCAAATCAGATTTATAGAGAGAAGAGGCAAAGAGAAAGATCTCCCATCTGCTGGTTCACTCCCCAAATGACCACAACAGCCAAAGCTGAACCTATGCAAAGTCGGGAGCTTTTTCCAGGTCTCCCACAGAGGTGCAGGGTCCCAAAGCTTTGGGCCATTCTCTACTGCTTTCTCAGGCCACAGGCAGGGAGCTGGATGGGAAGTGAAACAGCCAGGACTTAAACTGGTGCCCATATGGGCTGCTGATGCTTGCAAAGTGAGGATTTAGCCATTGAGCCATCACATCAGGCCCTGGCAGCCTTCATTCTTTCTGAAAATGCAACTACAGAGGAAAACCCTCACTTTATTCATGTCTTTTTTCTCTTAATTTTACTTACTTGAAAGGGAGAAAGATCTTCCATCCATTGGTTTACTTCGCACATAGCCTACCTAGGATTAGGCTAGAGTGAAGCAGACACCCTTCAAGTCAATCTGCTCTTTCATATGGGCGGTAGGGACCCAAGCACATGAGCCATCACCTCTGCCTCCCAGCATGCTTAGCAAAAAGCTGCAAAGGAGAGTGGAGCTGGGACTCAGCCACTCCTTCTGGGATGCAGGCATCTAGTGGCAGGCAGTTTAACACCTGTATCAAACACCTGCCCCGTCCTCATTCTTAAACATAGACGTTAAGAGAGCCATGTGGTAGATCACACTGAATATGAAAACAGGTTTTGACTCCAGATCTACCCTTGGACATGACTCTGATTTGCACTGTCCTCAATAAGCCACAGTTTGTCCGTAACTAAAATGGGGATTATAGAGATTGCTGTTGTAGTGCAGTAGGTACACTGCTGTCTACAAAATTGGCATCCCTTATGGACTGAGTCCTGGCTGCTTCGCTTTCACACAGTTTCCTGCTAATGACTTGGGGAAACCAATGGAAGATCTGCATGGTGAAGCTCCTGGCTCCTGGCTTCAGCCTGGCTCAGTCCCGGCTATTATGGCCATGTGGAGAGTGAACCAGTAGATGGAAGATTCTCTTTCAGTACCTCTGACTTTCAAATAAACTAATCTTTTAAAAAGAGTTATTATTTTAATTTTTTAAAAAGATTTATTTATTTTTATTGCAAAGTCAGATATATAGAGAGAGGAAGAGAGACAGAGAGGAAGATCTTAAGTCTGATGATTCACTTCCCAAGTGGCCATAAAGGCTGGAGCTAAGCTGATCCGAAGCCAGGAGCCAGGAGCCTCTTAGGGTCTCCCACACGGGTGCTGGGTCCCAAGGCTGTGGGCTGTCCTCGACTGCTTTCCCAGGTCACAAGCAGGGAGCTGGATGGGAAGTGGGGCTGCCAGGATTAGAACTGGTGTCCATATGGGATCCTGGCGCATTCAAGGTGAGGACTTTAGCACCACACTGTGCCCCACTATTTTAATTTTAAAGGTGGATTTTATAAAGAGGAGAAAGAGAGAAAAAATCTTCCATCTGCTGGCTTACTTCTCAAATGGCTTCAATGGCAATAGCTGAGCTGATCTGAAGGCAGAAGCCAGGATCCTTGTCAAGGTCTTCCACATGGGTGCAGGGGCCCAAGGGCCTGAACCATCCTCTGCTACCTTTCCAAGTCACAGGTAAGGACTTGGATTGGAAGTGGGGCAGCCAGGGTATGAACTGGTGCCCATATGGGATGCCAGCATGAAAAGCAGAGGATCAGCCCACTGAGCCACTGTACTGGCCCAAAATTCATTCATCTTTAACAAAAATGAGTAAAACACAAAGCGGGAATAATAAATTGATTCTCATAGCAGTTCTCTAAGGATTGCTGAGGTAGTGTTTGTCCAGAGGCTTGCTAAAGCACAAGACACAGCCTGATATTGGCTATGCATTGATCCACAGTTCAGTCTGCTAGGAGCATGATTAATAGGTCCTGGCGCCTTGAGCCCAGTTAGCCCAAGGAGACAGAAAGCAAATTGAGTTCCTGGGTGATGGAATACCGAAGAGGAGGGAGTAAATAGCATTCCTCTTTCCTACAGGCTGGGCCAGTCCACCTGCTGCAGTCTTTGCGATGAGCAACAAGCAGATGACAAGGTGAGCTGCCCTAGTCCACACCACAGGGATGCCACTTCCTGGGCTATCTGCTCTGACCTGCAACACCAGGGCTGGGCGGTATCATCATTACACCTCTCTGCCTGTGTTGCAGCTCACACACTTTCCCAGTCATCACATTCAGGTCTTTTCCTCACCTGCTGGTGCCTTGGATTTATTGAGATTCTTGGGCTTCCGTTTTCTAGTTTGAATCCCCTCTTTCCGCATTGCAAGAGGCCTGGGGACCTGGAGGATCATAAATCAATACGTCAGGGTTTCCATTTGTACATCATCTGCACACAATTCCAGTTAAGCAGGTGAGCGGGCACACCCACACTGCGGGGAAGGTACTACCTGTGCAATCCCTCCCCATGCCATCTCTCTACAGATCTTGGGGTTGAGACGGCGGGCACAGGATCCTGCCACCATTGCTGAGAAAGAACTCAATGTACTAAGTATCTAGGTTACATGATGGACATTTTATTAGGCCTTGGAGAAGTAGACAATTAGATTTAAAAGTTCATCGTCCAGTGAGAGAGAGACAGATGACTAGAAATAATGGGGCTCTGTTAGGTAGTACTGGAAACAAAGGAGAAAATAATCAACTCTGTCCCTGTGCGGGAAGAGGCTGGAGTGAATCCAGGAAGGCTTCACTGAGGAAGTGACACGTGGGTAGATAGAACACACTCATTTCGGGCAGCAGGAACACTATTGTAAAAGCAGTTGTGCCCCTTCCTGAAGCTCACCTTGACCTCACAAAACACCTGCCTCTTGCTTGCTCCCATACACTTCAGTATAGCTTTTCACAAAAGAGAAGCCATGCTTGAGCAAACTGTCAGTAGTGCTAAGCACACACTCATACTGATCTGTAACCATCACCAGCATCCCTCCCCAGAACTCCTTTCATCTGATGAACCCCAAACACAGAGCCCATTAAATAACAGCTCCCAGGCCTCCCTCTCCTGACCCAGGCGACTGCCTTCCCACTGTCTATGGGTTTGACTGGAACCCTCATAGTACTAGACTCAGACTCTTTTGGTATCTGTCTTTTTGTGACTGCTTTATTTTACTTAGCATAATGTCCTCAAGGGTCAACCATGTTATATCATATGTTAGAATGCCCGTCCTTTTTAATGCAAAACAATATTCAATATTCCCAATGTGTGTGTATATCACATTTTGTTTAGCCATCCATCAGTGGACATTTGCATATTGTGAATGATGCTGCTATGATCTCGGATGCACAAACATGCCTTGCAGCCCTTGCCTGCATTTCTTTTGGAAACACACACACACCCAGAGGTGGCACTGATGGACCATGTAGTAACCTGATTTTTCTTTTATTTTTTGAGGATATAGCGTGTATGTTTCCCTACCAGTTTCTCTTATCATTTCCTTACTAATAATAGCAACACTTCCTTTAATCATTTTCTTCTTGAAAACGGTTTTCTCCATTTAAGTGATTTAGCAAACATCCTATATAAACTTTTTTTTTAGTCTGTCTGTCTCTTTCTCTCTTTCCCTTTCTCCCTCTCAACTTCATAAATTAAAAAACAAAATTTAAATAATAAAATATTATATAATGGAGATTGTTCCAAATCAGACAGTAATGTGGTTTGCAAAAGCTCTTTGTTTTCTGAAAACATAACCCTTTCCTGACATTTGCTTTTACTTTTCGCTGTAACTTTCCATGCTCTAACATTAAATGTTTGTAGAAATCTATTTAACTTAGATGGCTTACATTTTTTAAAGGATTTATTTTCATTGCAAAGTCAGATATATATACAGAGAGGAGGAGAGACAGGAAGATCTTCCATTCAATGATTCACTTCTCAAGTGACCACAATGACCTGAGCTGCACCGATCTGAAACTGAAGCAGGAGCCAGGAGCTCTTCCGGGTCTCCCATGTGGGTGCTGGGTCCCAAGGCTTTGGGCCGTCCTCGACTGCTTTCCCAGGGAGCTGGATGGGAAGTGGAGCTGCCAGGATTAAAATCGGCGCCCATATGGGATCCTGGCGTGTTCAAGGCGAGGACTTTAGTCGCTAGGCCACTGTGCCAGGCCCCGCTTACATGTTTTTAAAACCTGCTTAAGAAGTTCTTTTTCCACACCCAAGGTTATCTAAAAACTCCTTGCATTTTCTTTTAGTATTTTTTACCAGAAAAATATTTACTAAATAAAGAATATTTACTAGAGAAAAAATACTTTTTTATTAGAAAATTATTTATTAGAAAAATATTACTATATTTATTATTGCCTAGAATTTTATTTCAAAAATGTTTTCCATTTAGTATTTTTTTAAAAAGATTTATTTTTATTGAAAAGTTAGATACACAGAGAGGAGGAGAGTCAGAGAAGACGATCTTCCATCTAATGATTCACTCCCCCAAGTGACCACAATGGCCGGAGCTGCTCTGATCCGAAGCCAGAAGCCAGGAGCCTCTTCAGAGTCTCCCACACGGCAAGTTTGAGGACTTCACCCACGAGGCTACTGTGCCAGGCCCATTTAGTATTTTTAATTCAACCAGTTGTGAGGTAGGAAGTGGACATAGTCAATATGCTTAAACAAGCTATTGTATCCACTGAAACAAACCACATGAATTATGAATTAAACTCATACAACATTAAAGATGGAGGGACCAGTAAATTTACTAAGAAATCACCCAAGTCTAAGTGTCTTCGTTAGGGAGGGCGACATGGATTCGAGCCTGAAGGGCAGACCAGTGAGGACTAGGGACAGCAAAGAGAGCTGGCAACCTGCCAGATGGCATCTGGGGATGTGGTGGGTGGCAGGAGGTGGCATTCACTTACACCATGGAGCTTCATGTAGAGGCCGCAGGCGTTGCAAACTGGCTCCCCCTCGGCATTGCGGCGCCACAGTGTGGTGGTGGTTGTCTGGCAGTTGGCACAGGAGAGGCCCACCCGGCGGGAAGCGGACTGCAACACAGAGAGGAGAGCCTTGGAAGCTGCTTCTGCAGAGCTGGCCTCCCTGAATAGGCAGCAGGCTCCAGCCAGGCCCAGTCAAGCCATTTCATGGCAGAAGAATGGCTATGCCAGCAGAAAAACAGCTCTGTAGGCAGAGAAGCATCTGCCAGAGTGGGAATTCACATAGACTGCAGGTGTGGATGGGGAATCACTATATCCTCGTGGCTTCAAAGGCAGAATGGACCTTGGGATTTGAAGAAAGGGATGTATTATTTGACTCCTCTATTCTTCCTCCATCCCCCATCTAATATCATGAAAGGCAGTGGTGCTGATCAAAACTAAGTTACCTTTTAAAGGAGCATGGAAACAAGAACCAAATTTCAGTTCTAGTCAATGAACCTAATGCAAATTGCTTAACCTCTGGGCTTGGGATTTTAGCAACCTTCCTCATGGGGCTGCTGTGAATGTAGGAGACCTTCAAGTCAACACCGGCTGGGGAGCCAAGGAGTCTGGGTCCCGACTGCACGTGGGAGACTCCCTGTTGCTGTGACTGTGGGGAAGCTTCACTGGCTTTCTGAGTCCTACTTCTCACTTCGCTATGTCAGAGGGGTTGAACTTGAAGGTTTAGTACACCCTGGTAATTCATGCCAAAACCAAAGGTGGGAGAAATTACTTACTTCCAGACCCCTACCCAGCCTCTCAACCCACACCCTCAAGCCCCCAAATTCAAAAGCAGAGGCTGTCCAGCTAAGGTGAGAGCCTTGGAGCTAGGTGCTGGGAGGAGCAGGGTGCAGAGGAGCCCCGCTGCGGAAGACTCTGCTTACCAGCCGGCGCTGTGGCTTGATGAGGGGCCTGTTGATGCCGTTCATCTTGTGGTAGAGGCCACAGGCATTGCACAGGTAGTGTCCCGTCCCATCCCGCCTCCACAGCGGAGTGGACATGGCCCCGCAGTTGACACATTCTCTGCCTTCCGAGAAGTCATCAAACATATCTACTGGATGAGAGAAGACAGAGGGGGAAGACACAGAGGATTAACTCTCTGCCGATGTCCAGCAACCTTGTGTTTGAACATCTGGAAACCACAGAAATAAGGCCCCTTTCACAGGAGGAGAGAAGGACCACCTTGCGTTGCCTGCCGCTCCCTTCTTCTCACTCTGACAGACAGGACAGCATTTCCATGGACTGCGACGGGAAGTGGGCATTTCGCCCCAGTAGCTGCGGGTGTAGCAGGCTTTTCAGAGCCGGAGAGGTGTGAGCAGGTAGCAGCCACCAGCAGCCCATGCTGGAAGGCAGGACAAGATTTCACCCAGCTCCTGCCTTCAGGGCTCAGAGTCCCCAAGCCTGAGATCGAAGGACCTTCTCCCACCCTGTCCCCAACTCAAAATTAAGATTATTTTCCCTTTGGAATAAAAACACAACAGCTATGTTCTTTAGGAAAATGAGAAAGTATAAATAAGCATATAGAAAATAATGATTTTTTTTTACCAGAGTTTAAGAATTTTGTTCTATTACATCCTTGGCAAAAGTTTCTAGGTTGACAGACTATTTCTGCCTGAGCGAGGTCAAGCTGTATAATTTGAGCCCTTCTTTTGCATACTACCAAAGTATTTCTCTACATTATGAGTTTTTATTACCTAACTTGAGCACAGTGTAAGATTGTTGCATGTGAACGCTCCATATTTAACTCTTACTGTTCAATGATTACTTTGTCCTTATTCCTTTTCTAATTTTGTTTGTTTTGCAGATCATTTCATGGCTTTGTCTTTATTCCTTAGGATACTCTCCTAGAATTAAAATTGTCTAAGTCAAAGGGAGCAGCTTTCTTCCTAAGTTTTGAAATCCCCAAACTGAGTTCATTTCCCCCTGTTTCTGTATGTCCTGCTAACATACTGGCCATATTTTCCTGCTTACTGGCGTTTAAAGTCAAGGTGTACATTTAAGTAAAGGCACCTTGAAGCTGACCACGTGGGAGTTTACCCTTGCACTCAAGGTTGCCATCCTTCACTTTCACTCATTTAACCCTCCCTCCCCATCACCTGTATCTTCAGAATGGACAAGTTTCACTTTCTCGCTGTCCTAGTGAAAGGAGGATGGGCTAGTTTTCGGCTCCCAGTCATCTGTATAATTCCTGGTTCAGAACTTCAAGAAACCCCTGCGACTCCATGTTATCCTGGGACTCCACAGCTACCTTGGTCTTTACATTATCCTTGTCCTATTGCCAGAGCAAGTGTACAGAGCCCTGCAGAGGGATATATGAGGGGCAGGGGACAGGTGGATGGAGGGTCTCTCCATTAGGATCCAGCTGGACATTTGGCTAGTTCCACAGATCAGCTCCTTGCTGTAAGGGAATGTGGGCAGGAGGAGAATAGGGCAGTGGGCAGGGGGTGGGGGAGTGAGGACTTACCTCTCAACTCTGTGTACACAAACAGTCATTTGCACCTGCAAACAGGTAGCTGTGTGCCCGCACCAAGCAAACAATATGCAGGTGTGAGGGGCTGTTTGCTTAGGCCAGGGAGCTGAGCACAGCTGGCACAAGAAAGGCTATTTTTACACCTGGGTCACACGGAGGGCCAGCCACAAGGTCACCTGCCTTCAGGGGTGACTGCTATCCATGGCTCATTCCCATCTAGACTCTGTCATCTGTGCCATCCTCACCACCTCTGCAGCCCTTGCCTGCAGCCTGTCAGTCCGGCTCCTTGAACTGGACCCTCCTGTGAGGAACCACAAAGATCAGGAGTTTACAAAAGGAACTAGGACCCCCGCTAAGCTCCAGAGGGCAGGGAATGCTAGCGATATCATTTTGTCCAGCTTTGTGTCAAACACTAGATGGCACTACAGTTTCAAAACTGAACCAAGACTCCACAGCCGAGTCTTAAGTCGCACTTGGGGGAGATTCTGCAGATCATCTTTCTAGTCCAAATCTAGCACAAGCCTCTTATTGTATTTTTATTTATCATGGAAAAAAAATACTCAAAAATGGACAGGATATTAAAATGAACTCTGATTTAACTATTATCCAATCTCCAACAATTTCTGCCTAATCTTGTCCCACCTTTATACCTCTGCCCACTTCCCCCTTTCCTGTATTACTGAAGGAAATCCCAGATAGTCTTATCATTTATTCATAAATGTCCCAGTATGTTGCTCTAAAAGATAAAGATTCACATTCTTCCTCTTTTAAAGATAAGCAAGCCAGCTTCTTTCCTACATCCTGGTCTATTTTAAATACAACAAAAAGAAAGAAAGAAAAAAAAAAAACTCCTGGTGTTTTTTCTGGTTTGGAAGAAAGACTGTCCTTTCTCATCTTGAATCCTGTTTTATACACAATGACAGAATCTTATGGAAAGCTCTAGAACTCGGGCAATTTTTCCTCAGCTGCTGCAAAGTTCCTTTAGGCTTGCCTCAGAGAAAGGGTTACACATTCAAGCAGCTATTTCACTGGCCAGGTAAAGTCATTGGAGGTTGGCAAATATGTATTTGTCACTGACAAATATTTACTAAGCATCTGTATTTAAGCACACCCATAGCTGTCACAGGAGCTAACAGAGAGCTTTGTTCTCAGAATGCCAATGATCTAGTGGGGCCAATTGGATGTGAATATCAATAATGAGTAACGCTATTACTCAATGCATTTTCGGAACATACCTTCAACTGACTGGTGAAACTGGTGGCAGGCTCTACCCAGACAGAATAGGAGGTATGGAAGTCCAACCCAGATACTAGTTTGACCTAGATAGAAGGGTCATGTTACAAGAACAGCCAAAGGAAAGATCTGGATGGAAGGGACTGGCCATATTTCCTTAGGACACCCAGTTAGCCACATGCAGGTCACCCTACAACCACACCTGCAAATCTTCAGGAGTTTCCACATTTTCTACTACAAAAACCTGCCTTCCTGCGGTAGACTAGTGGCTAAAGTCCTTGTGTTACACACACCAGGATCCCTTATGGGCACCAGTTCTAATCCTGGTAGCCCCATTTTCCATCCAGCTCCCTGCTTGTGGCCTGGGAAAACAATTGAGGACAGCCCAAAGCTTGGGACCCTGCATTCTCATGGGAGACCTGGAGGAGGTTCCTGGCTCCTGGTTTTGGATTGGCTCAACTCTGGCCATTGTGGCCACTTGGGGAGTGAATCAATGAATGGAAGATGTTCCTCTCTGTCTCTCCATAGATCTCATTTTCCAATAAAAATAAAATAAATCTTTTTTAAAAAATTCCTCCCTACCTACCTACCTGCTCAATGAGATGTTACATACATTTTTAAAATGACATTATATAGACAAGACACCCATGGAGTCATATGTCCCATACTGTTAAATTCAGAAATGCAGCACGCAAAATACCATATGCACTGAGAGTGAAGACTACCAGGAAGACACTTTCATAAGATCAAAGATCAAATTCCATAAACTTTTCTTTTGTAAAAGCAATATCCTAGGAAGTCATAATTTCTTATTTTAAAATTTTTGGACAAAACAGAGGCAGACATTTGGTGCAGCAGCTAAGATGCCCCTTGTAATGCCTGCACTGACACCAACATACCATTTATGGGGCCTGGTTCAAATCCTGGCTGCTATGCTCTGGCTCAGCTTCCCGACAACGTACACCTGGAGAGGCAGCAGAAGCCAGTTCAAGTGGTCTTTGCCAACCACGTTGGGGGTACCTGGATTAAATTCCACATCCTTGGTTTCGGTCTGGCTTCACCCTGGCTACTGTGAGTATTTGGAGAATAAACTAGTAGATGAATGCTCTCTCTCAAACAAACCAAAACCAAATCAAGCATAGCTGCAGCTCCTAACCCACACTGGGGAACAGGTGATTGGATCTCTGACCTCTGACGTACTTTTTTTTCCCTCTTGGACTGAAAGACTGAGGGAATAAATTTCAAACCCTGTTGCCTAAGCACGTAGCTTGGGGGAAGTAGGGGTTAAAGGCTATGAGCCCCAAATTAGAACCTTCCTATACCATTACAGGAAAGGCTCTGGAGGCAACCATAACACAAGGGAGGAAGTCAGAGTTATGGCATCTACTGGAACACAGCCACACCTACCCAGTGCTGGGCAGTAAGGGAATTAGTCCAACCCCTTGGGAGACAGTGGGAATCCAGCCCTGGGAAGCCAGGTCAGCATCACCCCACCTTGGAAGGAAAGAGTTGTAATAATAGTTGTAAAGTCCTCTGCAAATAAGAGGAAAAACTTACAACAATGGCTGTAAAGTGCTCTGCAAACACCAAATGAGATAACAATGATGGATTATTGTTGGGAGCCTGGGGTTGGAGAAGCTGCAGGCAAGAGGGAAGTCCAGGGACAAACCTTGGTGCTGGGTTATTGGGGAGGAGGGAGGTCAGATAAAATAGCTAGGAGATTTGGGAATCTGACCATTTTCAGAATAGCCTGTTGCCTCCAGACTTGCCTAGGGGTTTGAACCTGCAGACTGGGAACTGCCTACAGCACAAGACTTGATAGTCAGTGTGCCAGGATGGGCGAGTTCTCAAAGCTGCTTCTCAGGAGTAATACCAACTAATGATCATTCTAGCAAACAGAAACACTAAATGGGCCCTAACCCAGAAGATGAGGGTCTAACTCTCACTTCTACCCACGCACCACATCAGCCTGATTTCCTAGGCATCTAAGATAGAGTGGATATTCCTAGGAATTAAGGCAAATTACTCCAGCCCTGAAAGAAAATGCAGGCCAGGAGGTCGAAGGATCCCACCCCTGAATTCCCTACAGAGAAACTGCTGCAAACACTCTGACCTCTCCCCTGGCCTGTCCCATCCATCTTGAGGCACCCACCCACTTAGGCTTTGCTGGAAGGACACAGATAGGAGGAAGCAATCCATGGTGAAAGAAAAAAAGTGGAGGATAAAGGGAGAGGGAGAGAAGTAAGAGGGACATCAGAAACCGGGATCATGGCTGGCAATATCTGCCTTGCAGTTCTCTGCTCACTGAAAGGAGACCCTCACCCTGGCATTCTCTACTGGGCTTCATACAG